GGATTGCTCAAGGTCAGGAGTTCGAGACCAGCCTGAGCAAGAGCGAGACCCCATCTCTACTAAAAGATAGAAAGAAATGATCTGGACAACTAAAAAATATATATATATAGGAAAAATTAGCTGGGCATGGTGGTGCGTGCCTGTAGTCCCAGCTACTCGGGAGGCTGAGGCAGAAGGATTGCTGCAGCCCAGGAGTTTGAGGTTGCTGTGAGCTAGGCTGATGCCTTGGCACTCACTCTAGCCCAGGCAACAAAGCCAGACTCTGTCTCAAAAGAAAAACAAAAAAACAAAAATCTAGATTGGGTGAAATATGCAATAAGTACATCCCCTTTGGTTTCTGTGTCACTCCATGGCTTCAATCTTCTTTCACAAAGAACTTTATACTTGATCCTTAAAATATTCTTGTGAGAAAGGCAGGAATTCTCAATAACATTAAGGATGAAAAAATTTAACTTTGGCAAAACTGGGATTTGCCATGGTTCATATAGTCCAGATTATCTACCTATTTAACTTCTGATTGTTTGGGGCGGGGGGAATTATATTCAAGCTTATAAGAAATTCAAACAATTCAGAAATGTTCAATGATGAAAAAATCAACACCTATAATTCTCTCTATATTTGTACATATTTGTATATACTAGTAACATTCTGCATAAATGACAGTTCAGTTCTTTTGGCTCAAGTAGAGAAATAACGTACATCATGTTAGCTATAATATAAAGTACAGAGTGAACGGTTTCAAAGGAAGAAAATGAGGATGTAGTGAAAGATGACTCAGGAGGCTCTAGCCTGTGCGTCTGGGAAGCTAATGCTGCTAGTCAGAGAAGTAGGGAGGCTGGAAAGGGAAGGTAAGACTTCAGACTACCAGCCCCCAATAAAGTTTGATTAGTCAGTAGTATACTCAAGTGTCTCTAAGACCACGGTAATGGAAGTAGACCCACACACTGGACTCTGTAATCATTTATATATATTTTAGTGGAAGTCCTGAATTCACTCAATGAGGGAAAGAGATGGCAGCCAGGGGCTGGCTCTGGGGAGTACCTGAGTCAAGCATGGATGGAAATGAGAAGAAAATTATTTTGTTAGCAACCAGCGAGATAAATTATATTCCTCACTGTAACAGATGGTTAAAAATAGCACTATATGCTTCATCCTTACAGATAGTTAAGGAAAAAAAGGCATTTATTAATGTAAAAAGATACGTATCTGTGTATCCTGATATTTGGCAATATTCAGGAGCTGGACACAGCTAACAGGCTTCAGCCATGCCATATCATAATAGCATTTAGTGGAACTGACAAGTGGGAGCAAGGGTCACTATTAAAATCACTTTAAAGAAGATGTATAAAACAATGTGTAATGACAAAAGGACCAGATCTTGAAGAACTTAAGGAAAAAACCCACGTCTATTGATTACAAAATTCAATACTATTAAAATTACAAACCAGCATTTAGTAAAACAAGCTACCACATTTTTCATTCATGTATCTTTTGTTTGCCCCAAATGCTTTGAGAACATAAGGCCACTTTATTTTTTTCCTGTTTTTTTTTTTTTGCTACATAAAATTTAGTAGGATCATCCATCTCCTTTCTTTTCCATCAAAGAAAGCAAATATTATGGTTAACAAATTGGTGCAACATATATTCAGATTCCAAATACTTTTAAAGAAAAACTGTTACCCAGATCAGTGGTTCTCAAATTTTAATGTGTATCAGAATCACCTGGAGGACTTATTAAAGCACAGATTGCTCGGTCCCACCTCCCTAGTTTCTCATTCAATAGGTCTGGGGTGGGGACCAAGATTTTGCCCCAGGTGATCTATGCTGCTAGATTAGAGACCATACTTTGAGAACCACTAATTTAGACAATGGACATGTTTTCCACCCCACTCTCTTTCTTTCTTCTTTGATTTCTCTTCAAACTTTCGATATCTCCTTCAGGGTATCTCAGTGAGGCTCAGATATATTCATCTGCAATGCGTTTAAAGTTAAAAAAAAAAATCAGTGATATTTGAAATAGAAAAGCTGTAAATTGCAGGTGAAATTTAAGAGGGGAAAATGAAACATCTTGAGCATTAAAGCTTCTTATTTCTCACAAGCATAGCTACACAAATGTCATCTTTGCCATTTGTGTTCCTGTCCCACACCCTTCAACTGTAGATCTCAGGACACCAGGCATTCTGCTCATCATTCAAAGCCTGGCACGAGTCCCACCTCCATGACTAAGCTTTCCCCAATCTCCCAGCAGCCAATGATTTCTGTAGCATTAGGATTCCTATAGTAGTTACTGCCTACATTTTCCCACACATTGAATATGTGCTGCGTTGTACTATTGGGCCACTTATTCTTATACGTATTTATTTCTACGTATTTTATGTGCCGTGGCATCAGCCTAGCTCACAGCAACCTCAAACTCCTGGGCTCAAGGGATCCTACTGCCTCAGCCTCCCGAGTAGCTGGGACTACAGGCATGCGCCACCATGCCCGGCTAATTTTTTCTATATATATTTTTAGTTGTCCAGATCATTTCTTTCTATTTTTAGTAGAGACGGGGTCTTGCTCTTGCTCAGGCTGGTCTCGAACTCGTGAGCTCAAGCAATCCGCCCGCCTCGGCCTCCCAGAGTGCTAGGATTACAGGCATGAGCCACCGCACCCGGCCCTAAGCACCATTTTTTAAACTTCGTTCACCCTCAAGCGTTTGATGCTGACGACAGCAGCCACATGTGAAGACCAATAAAGCAATTGCTGGTTTATCTTTTGGGAACTGACATAGAATTTGATTATGTCCATAGCCAAATGTCGCTGTAAAAATCATAAGCCTAAAATGCAAAAAAAAAAAAAAAAAAGCCCACATGCCAATGTAATAGCTGCAAAACTATAATTAAGCTTAAGGTTTAGAAGTGTGGACCCACATTTCAATCTAGATCAGGGCAGTTTAGAAATGATAATGTCTCTGTATTTGCTATGCCGATATGGAATAATTTGCTTTTGCCTTGTCAAAATTAAATTGTGCTTTCTGTACTGACTGTGGGTTATATTCCTGAAGGTCTCTCATTCTTAGCTACAATAAGCCCTACAGTTAAAAGTCACATACCTGAATTATCTGTTCCCTGGAGACTTGCTCTAAGATTATGAAGTTTGCTCACTTTTATCACGTTACAATATCTCTGCATCTGTGTCCTTGCAATGCCACAATTGAAAGACAGTATGTCGTACGTCCTTGACTAAATTCTTTTCGTTGAACACAGGAAATGCATAGTGTTCATGCACTGGGCAGACAACTTGCCAGAAACATTTACCGAGGAGCTCGTCTGATCTAATAACCCACATTTATGTTTGGCTTTGAATAGTTGATTAGATTTCACTTTGCAAGCTCTCATGCCTTATTAGGGGTGAGCAAGGTACATAAGTGTTCCCAAATATCTAATGTGAATGGGCCCTTAAGGGATCTAGCGCCCCTTTAACTCTGCATAGAAAACAGAACCCAAAACCTGAGAGAAATTCAGACAACAGGTGGGAGAAACTGGCACCTCGACTGCAAATGCAGGTCTGCTTTCCCCTTTGCCTAATAAGTGCAGCGAGGCTACATGCTGAGGGCTTAGCGTATGTTTAAATCGCTGGCTTCATACCTCTCAAGTTCCAGCGACCAAAAACCATGATAGCGCGTCCCAAGTGGGCCGATTCTGCACAAGCAAACCACGGTAACGCTTAAGCCGGGAGCTTGCCAATCTTTCACGTCGACAAACGACGAAAGTTAAACAAGGGAAAGGCCGTTTTAGCAAACGATTTAACTCTTTAGGGATGCTAATGCTTTGGGCGTTTCTAGCCTTCCGTGCATTTCGGACTCGGCTGTAGCCCAGCAATTAAGTGCTAAGCTCTCCTCCGCCTTCACAGTTCGTGGTGAGTGCGCAGCTTCTCTGGTGATTTTATGGGGGGCCCTGAAAAGGGCCTTTGGGACTGAAATACAAAGCTGAAACGGCGATTTAGCCTCCGAAACCATACAGGGTGCGCCCCTGGCGTTTAAGGGCGTACACCACATCCATAGCAGTGACGGTCTTGCGCTTGGCGTGCTCCGTGTAGGTGACCGCGTCCCGGATGACGTTCTCCAGGAACACCTTCAGCACACCCCGAGTCTCTTCATAAATGAGACCAGAGATCCGCTTGACACCTCCGCGGCGAGCAAGACGCCGAATAGCGGGCTTAGTAATGCCCTGGATGTTGTCTCTCAAGACCTTACGATGGCGCTTAGCGCCGCCTTTGCCGAGACCCTTTCCGCCTTTTCCTCTACCAGACATGACTGACTACACAGCCGAAAACAAGGCCTGCAATGCTAGCGAGCGCCGCTTTACCCCTGATATACATGAACATCGGACCAGATTGAAAACCGAAAGTGCGCCGGCGGGAAGCATTGTAAATTGTCTCCGCCCTCTCGACATTTCGTCATTGCTTCCTGTTTTCCTCTCCCTTCTTCTCTATCCTCCACAGGTCCCTCTTTTTTTTTTTTTTTTTTAAACTGATATACCATAGTCTCTGGGAGAATTCAGATCCCAACCTGAAGGCTCCGGATTCTGCAGCCGTCTTCGCCTGTGTCTGGGTCCCTGAAGGCATTGCGCTGAGGCTAAGAGGAAAGGTCTGGTGGAAGCCAAAGGAGGAGCAAACGGAGGCCAGAGATGGGAAGGAGAGAGCGCCGGCGCCAGATCTAATCCTGACTGGAGGATTCCGAACCATGGTTACGTAAAAATGCGGGGAAAGCATTTCCAATAATTAGGCTGACACTCTTGAGGTGACCTCAAGAGCAGCGGCAGCCGGGATTTGTGTGTGGAGGGGGAGGGGGGGGACTCGGTCACCATAATTGGAATCTAATCTCCATTTTGTTGTGCCGAGCCATGGTATTTCAGCTCACCCGGAAGAAGTCAGTTTCTGGGAAAATTGGTCTCAGTTATATTGCCAAACCTTCTCATGGAGGTCAGTGAATCGCAACACATTCAGTCAAAGCTCTGTTGAAAGAAACGATACAGTTCTCCCTCGGTTCTGTGGGGGATTGATGCCAGGACTCTCCCGGATACCAAAATCCGAGAGTGCTCAAGTCCTTTATGGAAAACTACATGGTATTTGCATCCTCCTCATACTTTAAATCATTTCTAGATTACTTATGAAACTCAATTCAATGTAAATGCTATGTAAATAGTTGTACCGTATTGCTTTATTTGTATTATTTTTTGTTCTTTTTATTTTTTTTCCGTAGATCCTCTGTGGTCAACTTTTTTAAAAAAAAATATTTTCAGGCTGGGCCAGGTGGCTCACGCCTGTAATCCTAGCATTTTGGGAGGCTGAGGCTGGAGGGTCGCTTGAGGCCAGGAGTTCCAGACCAGCCTGAGCAAGAGCAACACCTTATCTCTACAAAAAAATAGAAAACTTAGCCGCCTGTGGTGGTGTACATCTGTAGTCCCAGCTACTCCAGAGGCTGAGGCAGGAGCATCGCTTGAGCCAGGAGTTGGAGGTTGCAGTGAGTTACGATGACGGTATTGTACTTCAGCCTGGGCGACACAGCGAGACCCTGTCTCAAAAGAAAAAAAGAAAAAGAAAAAATTGCCATTTGCGGTTGGTTGAATGTGGAACTCGCTGATTCAGAGGGCCGACCATATGCAGAAGACTGAGAGCTATTTTGTACATTCGTTTTTACAGATCCTCTAAATCAGCCCTTTGAATCAGCCAGGATTTAGTGCCCAAACTGTTCCTGTTGAGGCTCCACATGGAGCTAGCAAAGTTTGCTGAATTGGGTTTTGCAAGAGGACATTTGCCCTCTACCACAAACTGTCCTTTGAAATTGATTGAGGTCCTTTCTGTTGGCATGTTCGTTACTTTATCAGGGTCCTAGAATCCATTATAAAATGTTCTGGTTTCCGCATCAGAAAGAATTGAGGTTTTTTTGAGAAATGTTTTATTATTTTAAAAAAATCTGTGTCCTGTTTCATCTCTCCCTCAGCTCTACCTTCTATGTACTGATGAGTCCTAAATCTATTATATATTCAGACTAATAGGCTCCAGACATGTAGATCCACGTGGTGTTTCTTTAGTCATTTTCAAAGCTCAATCTCCCCAAATCGAAATGTTTAAATTTAGCTGGGCGTGTGCCTGTACTCCCAGCTACTCAGGAGGCCGAGGTGGAAGGATTGCTTGAGGCTATGAGTTAGAGACCATCCTGGGCAACATAGTGAGGCCTTGTATCAAAAAAAAAAAAAAAAAGTTTAAATTTAAAATCTCCAACATGTGCCTCATGGGGGGATTCCTTCTCTCCCTCCTTCTCCTATACAGCTGGATCTCTTGTCTGCTCATTGAATGGTGCCACTATGCATCACCACACTATATGCCTAAACGAACACCCTAGAATTCATAATAGACATCTTCCTCTCCCCTGGCTGCTTCAGGACAAATAAACACACTTGCTCTTTTCTGACCCTTTAGCAACTGTTGGAGAATCTATCATTATTTTACATTTCTTTGCATCCTAGTACTCCTCCCACCCCGTGTGTTCCTTATTAACAGTGATTTTTGTTTATTCTTTTTTGTAAACCAACACGTAGTTCAGTGTCCAGTATAAGCTCAATAATAGTTTATAAAATGAGCAGTTCCTACATTTGACTGCTTTTAAACACTAGCAGGAAAGAAAGATATGACCAAAGTGCGTCATGATAAAATAACCACAAGCCAAGGCTGACAGAAGTGATGATTTCTGGTGTCAGAGGGTATAGGACTCTAGGTGGAATCAGAGACATAATGTCTATACACTCTCCTTTTGAAAGGGATCAGGATATTCTACCCCAAAATATGTCGCTTTTTGCTTGTTTTGAGCTGAAGACATTTGAGTTCCTGAAATCCCTTACCTGTCTAAAAGCAGAGACTGATAAAAGAACTCAAAATTTTAACTCAATTGTCATAAATTCCTCCCAGGACTAGGAGCAACTCTAATATCAGAGATGAGAAGTCGGCACCACATCTGAACAAACATCGTCACAAGTGATCCAATCTCCTATCTATTCTCCTGACGGCCTATTTATCCATTTATCTTTCCAAAAAGTCATTTGTTTTTCCAAAAGTGTCTTTTCTTTCCCCCACTAAGTTATCTAGGTTTTTGTTTGTGTGTTTGTTTGTTTGTTTTGAGACAGGGTCTTGCTCTGTTGCCTGGGCTAGAATGCAGTGGTGTCATCATAGCTCACTGCAACCTCCAATTCTTGAGCTCAAGCAATCTTCCTGCCTCAGCCTCCTCCTCAGTAGCTGGGACCACAGGCACATGCCACCACACCTGGCTAATTTTTTTCAATTTTTTGTAGAGACAGGGTTTTGGTATATTGCTTAGGCTGGTTTTGAACTCCTGGCCCCAGTTGATCCTTCTGCCCATGCCTCCCAAGGTGCTAGGGTTACAGGTGTGAGCTACCACTGGCCCCCAAATTCTAGCCACCCTCTGAGTTACTCATCTGAGTGCTCCCTTGTGTATGCTTGCTGCACGTATTAATGAACTTTTGTTTGGTCTTCTCTTGTTAATCTGCCCTTTATCAATTGAATTTTTTTTTTTTTTTTTTTTTTTTTTTTT